TAACATCATTAGACCGACTCACTCCCTCCCGAATTCATCTCTAGAGCGCTCCGATTCGCTATAGCTGCCGCATCGTTGCGGGCACCAGAATACCAAATCGAGGACGCCCGATTGTTCGATGACTCATGCGATTGCTCAAGCAAACATGTTTACAATGAAGAGCTGTGATGATCTTGGTGGGCACAGACAACTCGTACGATCCTTCTCCTCGAAGATCTCCTTAATCGAGTAGAACTAAATCCTGTATACGATACACGTGAAGATCCTTCCGATGATCTCAGACGAGTAAAGCCAACCGCGTCCCGGATGGGAATCTTCGCATCGAGAGTTTCTGTGGATGAATCTGATCGGGAGCCCCACGGGAATGTTCCATCAAATTCGCCCAAGGTCAAGAGAGCCTGGATTCGAGGGAATATGAACCCGGCGCAGACCGGAAACTAAATCTCGACCAAGAACTGAACCCATGGTTTCTGGTTCCTGCAACATGGGGATGAAGTGGTGATCCTCCGTGTTTTACCTGAACTACGGCTTCTTATCCGCGGAGCTCAGAAGTCACTCGAGTGGCTCGGTTCGGGAACCGAGGGAGCTAGGCGAAACCCGCAAGTTGGAACTTCAATGTGGGAACCCGAGACTACACTCCCTGAAGCCAATCCGCCCTCGGGGCGTTCACGGCATTCCTTCGCGAACACATCGTGAGAATAATGAGTTGCGTTCGATGTTCGATCCGATGCGAAAGTGAGTGCGAGCCGAGGTTCCCCATTCCTCGGCTTATCAGGTGGCTCGATTCCACGCGGCAGCTCGATCCATGGAATCGTGAGAGCCAGTTTCTTGGAGTTTCCGAGTTCATTCGCCACCATCCTGTTTTTTTGCGAGTCTCGTAGCCTTAGGAGCCGAGAACAGTCTTGTTTTCTTCCACCGCGGCTGAACTCGTGTACTTGACCTTCGAGGCCATTCACCGGACTCAATTCGCAGACACTATTTTCCAATCGCAGATAAACTTGGGAGTCCTGCCAGCTGTATAATCAAGACTTGGAAAAACGAGTCGCTGTAGAAGCCTACGGAGCAGGCCGCGTTCTAAGAGAGGCCCTCGCAGCAGGGAAGCCTCTTCGAGGAATTCGGAATAAGGCGAGAATTTTCCATGGAATTTCCACTGAACCTTCGAGTGATCGCGTGGAGATGCCGAGACATATGGATCTCGGTGGAACGTGTTTTTGCCGTGTCCACTTCCATGTGGCTACCGCTGAGCGAGCAAACAAGCCATCTGGCCTTCTGCTCTGTAAGAAGATGAAGGGATTATTGTCCGGTCCCGCCGGCTGGACCGCTCCCTCTTTCCCTCAATTTGGATCGTCGCCAGCAGTGTGTTCCCCGAGCTCGACGATCCATTGGATATCGTTCCCCAACGTGGAGAATGTGCTCGTCCTGCATATACATATGAGCTTCAGTGGGCCCCGAGATGAGAGTTCCGGTCGGAATGAGAGTCACGAGAGCTCTGTCTCACGTCCGTTACAAGGCCTTTCTGAAATTGTGGTACATGGGTGGGACTGAACTCGCGGAATGAGCAAGGGATAGCTGACCGTCGTCTGGCTGGGGGAAGCATGCCTGCGCTCTAATTTGAAGTTTTGGTTTCAGTGCCCTTCGGCTCGAAGGCTTCGAGACGAGGACACAGTGTCCACCTCTCGTCCAATGAGCGAATGATCCTCGACTCCAGCAAGAAGGTCCCGATATTTTTAGAAGGGTCGAGTCAGAACCTGGGAAGCGACTGAAAGAGACCGACAGGGAACCGAAGACCGTTGACCTTCTCGAGTTCTCGGCCTGAGGAGCAGATCTCTGAATAATCAAGTATGCAAGACGCTGTATACGACAGAGAAGGCTTTGCTCGGTCAGTCTAAGGGTCCATCTTCCGCAGCGGGATCGATTCAAAACCTCTTTCTCCGTGCCTGAAGGGAAATCTTCCGAAAAAGTGTGTGAGGTCCCTGTGGACCGCTCTCAGCCCGGCTCATCGAAAGTCGGCGAGACTCGTAGGTGGTTTTACTCAAACTCTGCTTGCACGCTCGCTCGCGGGGGAAGAAATAATTTGCGGAGGAAAAAACTCCGGGTTGCCCACTCAAGGTTAATCGAGAGCGCAGCGATATACGTAGGTAGTGGATCTCGTGGGACATCGGGCACCGTCGAGCACAGTGGAATATGTAACCAGCTTAATTCCCCCGTCAGCGTAAATCGACACCATACTTACAACCGGACTCATGCAACGGAGCTCTCGCGTGATCAGAGACCTCGCTTCCTCAGTCTCGACGATCCAAAAATACGAATTCCGTTTATTCTTGTCTGGCAGACAGACCTAGAATCCCCCCTCCCCGATACTCGATCTTCTGTTGGCTCACGCTTCTCATCAGAAAAATCAGAGAAGCAGCATCCGTGTATGTAGTTTTGGATAAAAATACGGCAGGAAGCGGCGAGCTCCGACCCGAAAACCCAGAGATGGATTCGGGATCCCCTCGGGCCTCGGAGTGGACCCGACTGTCCACGCATCGGAGGTGAACGGGATTGCATCTCAGGGTTCACTGTCATGGTCACAGAATTTTCTCTCGGAGTCAGTTCCGTACGTGAAACCTGATAGCCTCGCCCGCAACGGGGAGGGTAGCGGTCAGCTGCACCCCTTGTCAAGCTCGGCGTTCCTTCCCTGAGATTCAGTAGGAGTTCTGCTGTTCTCATCACCGGACCGGACTTCGTGGGCAGCGATGAAATCCGCGCCTAAGAGGGAAGCCGGGGCAATAATTCTGGATGGGAGCACGATCTTCCCATCAAGCGGTCCCCTTCATGGCGGCAATGCTGGGATCAAGATGAGCAGAGGGAGACCTTCACGAGAAGGTCTACGGATCTCGCTCCAGGATCTTTCTAATCCAAGCGGTCAAGTCCGGCAATCGATCATCTCTCACCCGATCGAGTGTTGGCGTCCGTTTCCGCCCCGGGCTCAAGGTTTGAAAGGCTCGCTTACCTTTATTTCACCTGTTGTTGTGAGAGCTGATCTGAGGATGCTCTCGGTTTGAGGTAGCTCAGAACACCGTCAATGTTGAGCCCGACAACGGAAATGCCAGACTGTGGAAAAAAAAACTTCTTTCGAAATCTCGGGCCTCGGGGGAGGATTGACGCCCTCAGTTCAGCGAGCAATAATCGAAAGGATGCGATGGATTCGCCCCAGCGCCTGACCCCCCTCGACGATTTGAGGAAAAGTTTGCACCCGTGATTCGGTGCGACAATGCTGGCTGTGAAGGATGGAGGTTCGGTCTCCTGTGGTTTCTGGCACCGTTTTCTCTGCTCCGCTGGACATCCGTTGCCTGCTTTTCGGATCAAGCCGCATTAATACGTCAAGGATCACACCCGACTCAATTTCCGAGAAAATGAAGGTGAGCACAAATCCTCCCTCGTTCGACCTATCTTCGGCGCTCGTTCGACGTCTCTGTTCCTGTCAAGAAGCCTTCCTCTGCTGGGCACGGAGAGGCGCGGTATGGCTGTTATAACATTACCCAAGAAATGAAGTGAAATGAAACTCCTGCTGCTCAGGCACTTTTCTCTGCAGTCCCGGAAGAATTCACTCACCGCGGCAAGCATTCGCGAGGCCACAATCAGACATTTATCTTTCAGGTCGAGATATCCGATCGGGACGGCCCGATGTCGAGGGAGCCGACGCCGAGAAAAACGCATGTCAATCGAATCCCACCAGGGTTCGATTCCGTGCTTATATGAAGGTCATTGGGATGAAGACAACCTTGAGAGAGCGATCGCAGGTTCAAGCTCCAGCTCTGAATCCTGTCCTACAGGCCGATGACGACGCGGAGGATACCGGCCACCATCGCCGGCGCCGTTGGAATCTCAGCGCCCTTCTGAATCCATTAGCGAGGCGTATGTAATGATAGAGCCGGAATCGAATCTCTTCCTAAGGGACTCCTCTCGGCATAAACTCCGAACAAGAGGAATCGCAATTTGATCAGTCGATTTTCGTCGAGGAAATTACATCGAGCCTCCGCATTCATGCCGCGAAAACGCGTGGCTTCAACCAGTTCCTCTATGCCTCTCGGTTCCTTCGCATGACTTGCTGGATACGGGTGAAATTCCTCATATCGGTCTCCAGCGCAGACCGTGAGCTTACGAACTATTCCATGTCCTATGATTCGGACGGATGATATGAGTCCAAGAGGGCTACGCGAAGAGGAAATTTATTTCGATGAATTGAAATCGGATGCTGTTCGTCTTTTCGGCTGAACGGAACACTTTAGCGAGAGGCTGGACCGCGATAATATTCGCAAGCCAGCGCGGATTGACCTTCTGAAGGCCAGGCTTGCTCACCGGTCCATCGATCGTATGCGGGCAGCTACTGACCACCGAGGCGGAGTTTCGGGATGCAACGGATGCAGAGGGTAGCTATGATACGTGCGCCGGCGCCGAGAGTGAGGAATGACGGGATCGTCAAAAAGCATCCAGGACCTACGGAGATCCGTGTAGAAATATCTGGCGAAGCTCGAATCCATGCGCCTCTTTACTGAATTTCGGTGAAGCTCATCATCGTCGTGAATGAGAAACCCCATTCTCTTCCCTCATTTCGAGGAAACTCCTCTCATTGTGGACGGGGAGGGAAAAACGAAAGCGTCCTCATTGTGGAACGAAACAATTGAAACGAGAGAATCTTCATTGTGAAAGGGAACTCAGCCACTTCCGAAACTCCGTGCTCCTATTAGAAGAGCGTCGCGTTACGGACAACATTTTCAGTCAGACGATAAGATCAGCGATCAGGAGTGGAATGTAATAATCTGGAGCGGTCGAATCCTTTCAATTCTCGACGGAATGCAGATCGAGTCATCGCAGGCTGATCCTACGTTCAGTACCCGAGTTCCGGGTGGGACGAACGTTTTTCCCCCGGAGGACCAGACGGGGCGAGGGAGTTCTCGTACTTTGGTCGTCCGTAAAAGAAATCACGTTTTCAAATGAAGACGATAGCGTTCCAATCCGAAACCGGAGTGTCATAACTCCTGCGATTAAATATATATTCATTTTTATGTATAATATAAATCGTTGTCTTTCTATGCGAAGCACAGGTTCGGGGCGCGTGGCTGTTCTGCCGTCGGGAGTCCAGGAGCCGCGACGTTCTGAAATGCGGAGAGTTTTCCTTTTTCCGTCGTAGTGAGCCTGAATTTTGACGCTGCTGATGCTAGCAAGTCTCCCGGATTCGGCTGTTCAGCCCACGAGATGACCGGCTCTCTGACTTGCTGACCGACAGCAGTCTAGCTGTCGGCGACCGGTCAGCTCATCCACGGCCCGTTGGCTCGCTCGTCTATTCGCCAGGAAGAGGCCTACTTGGCGGAGGTGATAATGAGAACAAACTCGTCGTAGTTGATTTTGCCATCTCCGTCCCGATCGGCCTCCCGAATCATATCTTCTACGTCGTCGTCGGACAGGGTTTCGCCAAGATTGTTCATGACATGCTTGAGTTCCTCTCGTGAGATGAAGCCGTCGCCGTCGCGATCGAACACCCTGAATGCCTCCCGGAGCTCTTCTTCGCTGTCGGCTTCCTTGACTTTTTTCGACATCATCATGAGGAACTCATTGAACTCTATCGTTCCTGTTGGGGAAAACAAACGAAAAATTACCAAATAAGAAAACCCCCATTATCGGCGGCTCAAGGATGTTTCGATACGAGCGTGGGCCCTCGTTTTTCCCTAGGAGAGCCCTTCAAGGACGAACAGGTGAATGAGCGGTCAAGGACAATCGAGAATCTGAACGACGGGATTTCTCTAAGGGAGCGGCTTCGCTTTCGGAGCGAAAATCCTATCCATTGAGCGCCGTGCCCCGCCGTGGTGAGAAACTCCGAATGTAAGATTATTTCTCCGCTGTCACGAATGGCACGCTGAGGAGACGTTGATTCGCGTCTGGGAGATCGAGCAGATCGTTGAGCTCGACCCCGTGTGAATGGAATCTATCAGAGCGCATCTAATGCAAGATCGGAGTCGAGACGTACCGTTCCCATCCTGATCGACCATGGTGACCATTTTCTTGAGCTCCTGCTCGGTGGGTCGCTGACCGAGGGATCTCATGACCACACCGAGCTCAGCAGCTGTAATCATTCCGTCGCAGTCTTTGTCGAACAAGAGGAACGCCTCCTTGAACTCGGCCACCTGTTCCTCCAGCAGTCCGTATGTCTCGACAGCCTGGAACAACAATCGTTTGTTAGTCAGCTGGGCTGTGAATGACAAACTGTAAACACCTGCGGCGAAGAAAGCGGCAACAAGAGAAAGTGGGACAACCGAACAATGCCGATGCCGCCGACGACATCGAGGACGTGGCCAAGAACGTTTCCAGGATGAACACCCCACGATAGCTCCAGCCGGACGACGCGATTTTACCGTCGTCGCATACTCTCCAATCGTTCAGATTCAATTGAGCCGTCTCACTCCGTGGTGGGCTCCTCGAAAAATCGACCGGAAACAAATGGACGGCAGGCGTTCCGCAGTAGTTTCCGCCGCGACCCAAGCCGGACCATTTGTACCATGATATGTATCATGGAAGTTCCGATCGGTGGCTTAGGCCTCATCCGCGAGGCTTGCACGTCAGGATTAATTTTTCTTCCATTCATGGGAGCATCGAGCCCCGTCGCACGAGTGGGGAAGAAAAGCAGCACGAAAAGCAGTCGTGGAGGAAGCAAGCGGAGGGGAACGGATCGGAGGAACGCCATGGCGAGCGACAGGGGTATTGACGAAAATCGGGTGTTTACAGGAGCGCCGCGCCCAAGTTCGTGAACTTCCGAATGTCGACGGAGAGAATTCGCCCTCTGAACACGGGGGCTGGTTGGTTTGTTTGCCCCGTCCGGAGTGGAGCCGTCTTCGAAATAGTTCCGAGCTTTCAGGGAAGTTCGGCTCGCTAGACCACGGAGTCGTCGATAACTCGGTATCAAAGAAAGAACTAACCTCAGGTTGAGCAGTTCTCCGATTCCCTCCCTTCTCCGCCATTGCGCTCAAGACGTTGGTGGAGGAGGTAAGGCAGAGGCGAACACACAAGTTAGACGAAACGTCGACTTTCAGACTCCTCGTGCTCCGCAAGGTCTCGCTGAGTGACTTTCTAAAATCGTAGCCCGCGCTGACGTGACTCGGCCTACGGTGGGATATTTGTTCGGTCGGCGAGCAGGCGTTTGGTAGACACCGTAGGAGAGATGGTGGTTCTGCAGATAGAAGTCCGAATCCCCACGCGCGAGATGGTCAAGTCGCTTCCGACTCGGAGGCTCACTGGACGTGGTTCATTAATCCCACGGGGATCCGCAAACCGCGTAATGCTGCGACCGATATCGAATCGAGCGGCGGCGCGGGAACAACTGGAAAAGATTGTTAGGAGCAGGTGATACACAGTGAGTTTGATTAAAAATCGATCCAGTACGGGGAACGCATTAGTTATCCATCATGCAACGAGTGCTTCCGATCCGAGGGTGTGGGTGCTCAGACTTGAATTTCCGGGGATGCCGGAAGCGATCTGTGTATCTGGATTTTACACCAACGACAATTTTTCTTAAGGACTCGTGAAGGTTCGTATGTCGGAGTTTGCATCCGGTGCTCTCGGGGCTCCTGACGAACCTCCGATATGTAGATAGACCTTCACGACCTTTTTCGGGGAATAATTTCGAGAGGAAGATCCGAGAGACGCGAAGCAGAACGTGGATGAGTGAAGCAATTTCCTAATGAACACCCGCCCGTCGACGGGGCTAATCAGCGACGAGAATCCTCGACGAAAACTTTGTTTATATCGAAATCAACTTCCGATCGCGTGCACTGCAACAGACTACACATGGGTGCAATTGGTGGGACGGGGATTCGCGCGAATGATTCCCCGAGATTCCGCCGCGGAGAAAAACGGGATCTCCCGTCTCGTTAGAGTTCAGATAGAGCGCGGAAATGTGAAGAATCGCGACCCCAGTCGGTTGTTTGGGAAACAGAGGAAAAACCTCGATATCGAGACTGACAATGTCACCCACGATTGGCGTCTCTCAATGATAATTTCCCCGTTGCTCCTACCGGGCATGTTCTCAATGGCTCGGCACTGACAATCGGGCACACCCATTCTAGTGCTTCAAGCCATTGCCAGCCGGCAATGCCTAGGGTAGGGGGAGGTCCTCGAGCTGCGGGACGGGAACTCCGACATTCACTGAGCGCCAAAATTTTCAAACCGAATTGTCGTCAGCGCTCCACGGGAGCCGAGCTGTGTCCCGCAATCGAGCGCTCACAGTCCTACGCCTGGCTGATCTCTTCCCCACGGACGAAGGAGATGAGGGAAGGGGGGCGTCAGTTCCTTTACTGTCAGTACTAATCGAGTTACGAAGCCATCCGTGCGCCTTGCAAGTTCACAGCGAGCGAGGCCATCACTCCTCAACTCCTGTGGAGCTGCTCTCCCTCTGACGTTCAAAACAGGTCTAATGAAGGAAGCTTTTGACGCCGCGTCTGTGACTGAAACCGCTGATCCACGCTCGTAAGAAGTTGTTCCTGAATGCGAGCTTGAGACGACAGGCTGCCGTATAAAAGCTGAGAGGGAGTGTCGTATTCGAGCCCCATCCGGGAAGCCGTGAACTGCGACCTGACTTCTAGCGATAACTTCTAGCGATCCGGATTCTTTCGTTCTTGAGACTTCGCATCCGGGACCCGCTCGTCGCATTCGTTCCCTCCATCGAGTTCGCGGCTGATGAAGTAATCTTTGCGGTAGACGCTCGTTCCCCTTCTCGCGGGGAAATCTATCCAGAAATGTTAAGGGAAATCCCGCCGTTCATCAGGTTGTCGATCTCGATGTTCGCTTCTCAGAAGAACGCGGAAGCGCTTCGTTCGCAGCCCGCCCGCTTAGAATTCATCAGATAAATACACACGAAGCTGCGATGCGTCGACTTCTAGAAGCTTGACGCATCAGGTGATGAAGCATAGGCAGATACGTTGAATCGAAAGAGCAGGGTTGGCGTTGTGCGTCGCAAATTCCAGAACACCGAGCCCGGAAGTTCGCATCTACGAATCTGCGAACAACCCAATCGGGTTGCCGTCCATCCCAGACTCCGAGGAAAGAAGAACAACTTCGCCTGAAAATCTGTCGGAGACATCGACACGATTCAGGAATCACATGATTCATTGAAGATGTTCCGTGCTTACTAATCGAAAAGTTTCCTTGTCCAAAAGATCCTTCTTTAGAGCGTGTCTCCCGAATTTACGGTCTTCCTCCGGTCTGTTGTGGGGACGGTGCTCATGGGTCGGACGAACCAACAATCCGCTCGATTTCAATCTCCGGACTGAAGTGTCGACTGGCCGTATTTACATTGAGAACACAGAAGGAGAATCGAAGTCAGAGACCTGCGCCCCTGCACAGAATACAAATAGACATCAGCTTTCCCTCCTGATTTTCTGACCGTTCAAGCGTTTTCCAAGTCCTCGCCAGGAAGAGAACAGGCAAACAAGAGGACGGATCGGCGGACCCGGAAAACGACGAGCAACTGGAGCCCCGCTCATTTGGAGAAGCGTGCCCATCAATTCGTTCTTCTTCTTCTTCTTCTTGTTCTCACTGCACATGCCTGAAGGTACGCAGAGATAGGGACGCTTCCATTCTCAGCCCATGTATACCAAACGAGCCCGAGTGACTGAGATCTCGAAGAGCAGCTATCTCACAGCTCAACAACAAATAATGAGGCGTCTTCGAGATTCGGGGCCGAAGCCGAGCCAAAGGTAGGTTGATGCTGTCACCCTACCACGATCATTGTCTCGAGGTCTATCCGACGCATCGCTTGTTTTCGCCGCCGTAATACGGACGACGGAGAAGCACCGAGAATAAAGACACAGAGATGAGAGACACCTGTTTCGAAATCGCGGAGGTTTCCAGGAATCGTGAGAAGACTGGCAGATTCCGATCGTATTCAACCATGAACCTCACACACTCATAGGAGCAGGTGCTCCTCTGCTGTAAATCGAATCTCTGTCAGTTCTCGATGTCCGTCACATCAGCGCACATTGTGAATCGAATAGGGGAGGTGCAAAGACTGTTGTCGACTAACATCTTCGATTACTGCTTGATCGCATTACGGCTTTCTCGTATAATTCATCACTCTGGTCGGCAGAGCGACTAACTGACCGACCGACTGATAAAGTGAGTGAGTGTGCGGGTGAGCGACTGACTGAGACGAGATGAAGACTGTCGAAAAATCGATGAGCAACGAGCCCTGTTTCGCCGGCGGCATTCACGCCCCTGGCCTGTGATGAACAATTATTATTGTCAGCCAGCAGAGCGTGCAGGGCGGACAATCTCTCGCGGACAAACCGAAAAACTCGTCTCCAGTCGAACACAATCGAGCGCTGAAGAGCTCCGTCAGGACAGAAGCGGCGAAAGGCAATCGGATGTTCGTGCATCCATATGTACATCGCCACAGGATATGACTGTCGCGGAACGCTCCCCGAATGAGGGAAAATGCCATCCGACGGACCGGGCTCTACCTAGGATCCTTGCAGGAATAGCTGCGGTGGCTGCAGGATGAGGCATGATTTACACGAGACGTGGAGCGGGAGCCATCCTCGATTGATGCTCGGCTCGAACGAGGGAAGCTTTTTTTACGATCATGACGATGAATGAAGCGATTTCCTCAATGATATTCGAGAGACGGGGCATATGGGGGAACGAGAGCGAGAGTTGAAATCCAATCCGTTCGGGAGGAGACGAAGGCTCGGGGATAAGCTCCACAGGATCCGTTGGATGCGTCAAGTAAGGCCGCGAGTTGAGTTCAGGCTCGTCGTAGCGTGAAGCGACGTAGACGTCGTGGTGCATTGGACGTTGATGTCTAAAAGGATCTGGTCCACGCATCTGCTTGCTTGGAGGCGCGCGTTTTTGCCGCTCGAATAGAACCCACGCACTGTCGTCGACTCGGAGTTCGAGCCTGGGACGTCCTGAATTCATTTAGTACGGTGGAAATACGAGCGGGCTCCTGGTCGTGCCACGAGAATTAATTATTCTTTCAGCTGATGGAATTTAGTCAGTGATGGAGTACCCTTCGCGATGAGAGGAGCACTCGTGTGGCGCCTGCCCTCTGTCAGATACGATTCGGTTGGCCCGCGCGCTGGCCATTGGTCAGCGGGTTATTGTGGGCATCGGAGACCTTTAAATGCGGCGATATATCTCAACCAATCTCCCATGTGCACGGCGAGAATCGCTCGAACGAGTTTCCAGCTTTCCGGGGGAGAGGCAATACGGGAGAAACGACCTCGGAGCGGAATTATCTCAACCAAAGGATGCCTCTCCCCAGGATAATCTTCGAAGCTTTTCGAAACGGCTGAGTTTTCCCGGGCGATCCTCCTTGCCCCCGAATCCGGGATGGGCCGGGAACGCGAAGCGCAGGAGCTGACAAAGGCGTGGCGTGACGAATTCTTCTGTTTTCTCTCCGGCCCGACTCCCTCGTACGGAAACTTCGCAGCTCGAAGACAGAGCTTGAAGCCAAGTCCTTCTTCTAGGTCGCTCGCTCTACTTTCCGGGTTCACTTGGCAGAGCGTCTGTGCGTAGGACCGTCGGAGAGAGATCGGGGAAGAGAGAAAGTGACGAATTCCGAGGACATTTTACGCGGAAGGCAGCAATCTCGTACGGAACGTTCGTCAACTCGATATCACCACAGAGTGAGTGAACTGAGCGGAACGATCAGGGACTCGCTGAATTCGCGCAACGGAATTCCTCGCCGGAGAAGTTTCGCGGAGATTCTCGAAAAACAAGCTCGTTGAGGGCGATTCGCGCAAGACTCGCTCGCGTTAAGTTCACGGCCTTATGAGGGATGATGTTGATGTTTTCGGTTCTCGAAAGTCCGCACTCACCACTGGTCGAGAGCCCCGAGATAAAGAGTGACGCGACGGTGCCAAAATCAAAAGGCGAACACGGGGCTTGGAGAGAGAGACACACAACACTCACGTTCCGGCATGAACAACGAACCCCTGTCTCGAGCGCCCCATCTAGCCCTACCCGACTATCCGACGATACTTGGTCAAACACCCGCATCGAGGAATCCGAGTGGGCGCCCGGTCAGGATATCCACTGAAGACAGATTGAAACAAAGTATCTCGCGCAAGATTCAGGATGTCTTCAATAGTAGAATAGAGTGTCGGTACATCAATGATACCGGCGACAATATCGTAAATATTGCTCCAACTGACCATGAACGACGACGTCTGGAACAATCTTCCATCTCATGTGAAACAATCAGCCTAGTCGACTGAACTTGACGTAGAATCTGTGCGCAGATCAACGCTCATATGGAGAGCGATTATTCACCCCAGGCATCTACTGTTACACCGTTCGGCAGCCGTGTATCCTTTGCGAGGAAGCGCTCAT